CGGCGGATGCAGGCCATTTGCGAGTAGTGACTTTGCGAGTAGTGACCCGCGCAGGCCGTGGCCCACTGGGACTAAGTCGGGCCTGTCCCTTTACAGGGGGAGCACAGCAAAAGAGTCAAGACATGGTGTGGTAGTTTTGGGTATGTTTGGACTATTAAAAAAAATGTCGCCCCAAATCCCCTTGTTGGAGGACAGGCCCGACTTAACACTGAGACTCCATGTCTCAGCTCTGGAGAGCAGAGGGGGCTGACAGACAGGGCGCGCCTTCGCGGCCATCTCCCACGTGCAGGCTACGACCCGGGGCTTTCCCCCCCGCGGAGGGCGTTTGCCCCCCCCCCCCCCCCCCCCCCCCCCCCGAGAGATCCTTCAGTCCTGCAGGGCTGTCTGATGGCGCTTCGCCCGCTCGCAGGCATGGATGCTGGGTCAGTGATCCTCCCCCCGCGTTGCCTCCGCGCCACCTCGCCCAGAGCGGCGGGGACAAGAGGGGAGGGCAAGAAGTCGCAGAGGATCCGCGTCCCCCTCCTCCCCTCCTCCCGCGCGGGCGCCCCCCCACGAGCGGGGCACGACGACCGGGCGACGCGAGAGCGAGACGATGCGGGGCGAAGCGGCGGCTGGCAGGCAGCAGCGTCCCCCCATTTGCCCTCCGCCCCCCCCCCGCCGCCGCCGCTTCCTCGCCCCTGCTCTGCCCCGCCCTGCTCCGCCCATCGCCCATCCCAGAGGCGCCCACGCGTCGCCGGAGGCCCCCAGCGGCTCCGAGCGGGTCCGAGAAGAGCCTCCGGCGGAGGCCCCTGGAGGCGCCAGGAGGCGCCCAGAGTTCTCCATACCTGGCCCCGTCGCCCTTGCCCTTGCCCTCGGGCCCCCCCTCGGCTCAGGGGCAGCGTTAAGGGGGGGGGGATGGGCTCAGGGTTACGTCGGGCCTGTCCCTTTTTAGGAGGAGTGTTCCTAAATTGCGTGCTTTTAAGAAAAAGGAAAATGAGAAGCGTCGGGAAGGTGTTTTGAGAGCATCATTTGGCTGTGTGTTGGCATCTTTTGTGCATTTTTGATTTCTCCCCCAAAGCCTCCCTGTACAGTCAAAAACCCTAATAAGGACGCGCGAGTTTGCTCAGGGCTCCCTTGCGTCGTCCTTGCTCTTCTCTTCCTTGCTCTTGCGTCCTTGAGGCTTTCGTCGTCCGCCACCCGATAAATCCCAACTTCGGCTTCCAGGGGTCTTGTTTTGCGTCCTTACCGCGCGTCCTTATTAGGGTTTTTGCTCGTAGGGGGGGACATGCCCGACCTGAGCTCCGGGGGGGGAACTCCTCGCCCATGCGTCGCCGAGGGGGCCCGATGGCCCGCCGCCCGCCCGGGGGCGTGCGGTCCTCGCTTCCGGGGGCCTCCCTCCTCCCTCCTCCCTCCTCCCTCCTCCTCCCTCATGCCTCCCTCCTCCCTCCTCCTCCCTCGTCCTCCTCCCTCCTCCTCCTCCTCCTCCTCCTCCTCCTCCTCCTCCTCCTCCTCCTCCTCCTCCTCCTCCTCTTCATCCTCGACGAAGCTCCGATTTCGGCACTCGAGCCCGACATTCTCCGCACCCGTTCGGGTGTTGCTAGAAGCGCCCCTGGCCCACGGTGCCCCCAGCTTTTCGCTCCATTTTCGGGGCCCTGGGGCCCTCTGGGCCTCGTGAGGGGTGCTCCGGAGGCCGTCTGGGCCACCCCGAGAATTCTGGGGGCACCTTAGGCCAGGGGTCCTTCCAGCAGCACCCGGCCCGTGAGCTGGTCCGACCCCCCTCCCCTGCGTCTCTCTCCCCCCAGCGCTCCCGCCCACCCGCGCCGGCTGCGCGAGGTCTCGCAGGTCTGGACCGAGGCGAACTGCACGGACATCCTCCGCGCCGCGAAGAGGCCGGAGGGGCGGGGCCGCCCAGGCTTCTGTCCGTGCGTGCGCGGGGACCACGTCGGCCTCCCTTCGCCCCACCCTCACGGCGCCCCCCTGGCAGCCGTCCGTCGTCTCCGTCGTCGTCGTCGTCGTCGTCGTCGTCTTCGTCGTCGTCGTCGTCGTCGTCGTCGTCGTCTCCCTGCTGCCGCTCAGCTGGGGCCGGCGCGCGCGTGCCGCCTCCACCTCCTTGGCCGCTCGCCCGACTCCGCCGCCGGAGTCACACTGTGCGTGCGTGCGCGGGTCCGGTTTCTCGAGTCGGTCCGCCGGCGCGCGTTTCGTGGCTCGACCAGAGGGTTTCTCAGAAGGGCTTAGGCGACCCGTCCTCCGCCTCCTCCTCCTGCTCCTCCTCCTCCTCCTCCTCCTCCTCCTCCCCCTACTCCTCCTCCCTCTTCCTCCCTCCCCCTCCTCCTCCTCCTCCTCCTCCTCCTCCTCCTCCTCCTCCTCCTCCTCCTCCTCTCCTCCTTCCCCTCCTCCTCCTCCTCCTCCTCCTCCTCCTCCTCCTCGGGTTCCCTACGGCCCCAGGGGAAACCGTGGATCACCAGGATGCCGATTCGATGCGCCCTCGACCCGATGCTTCGTTCTGTGTTTTGGACCCGCCCACGCCCTTAAAAACGAGTGTGCGTGCACATGTACACATAATTATATATGTGTATGTGTGTATGTGTGTATGTATGTGTGTGTATGTATGTATGTATGTATGTATGTATGTATGTATGTATGTACGTACGTTTGTATGACGTACGTTTATATGTATGTTTGTATATATGTATGTATGCATGCACGTATGTATGTATGTATGTATGTATGTATGTATGTATGCATATATGTATGTAACGCATGTAATGTATGTAACGTATGTAATGTATGGAATGTATGTATGTATGTATGTAATGCATGTAATGAATGAATGAATGAGTGTATGTATGTATGTATGCATGTATGCATGTGTGTACGTATGTATGTATGCCTGCCTGCCTGCCTGCCTGCCTGTATCTATGCTTGTAATGTGATGTAATGTAACGCAAGGTAATGAAATGTTATGGAATGCGATAACATGCAATGCAATATAATTCAATGTAATGTAAAGCAGTGTAATGTAATGTAATGTGATGTAATGTAATGTAATGTAATGTAGTGTAATGTAATGTAATGTAATGTAATGTAATGTAATGTAATGTAGTGCTATGTAATGTAATGTAATGTAATGTAATGTAATGTAATGTCATGTCATGTCATGTCATGTTTGTGCGTATATAAGTACGCACGTATGTATGTATGTATGTATGTATGTATTTATGTATGTATGTATGTATGTATGTATATACGGCTGTATGTATGTATGTATGTATATATGCATGTATGGATGTATGTCTGTGCGTATGTACGTATGTACGTATGTATGTATGTCTGTGTGTATGTATGCATGCATGCATGCATGCATGCATGCATGTACGTACGTACGTCTGTCTGTCTGTATGTATGTATGTATGTACGTACGTATGTATGTATGCATGCATGCATGTATGTGTGTATGTGTGTCTGTACGTCTGTGTCCGTCGTCTTGTTTTATCTGGCCTGTCTTGTTTCGCACGGCGCTTCGGTGCATGGCCCCCGCTCTTCTCTCCCGCGCCCGCTCGCTTCTCGGAGGGAGGAGGAGTGCCTCTCTCGCCCCCGCCGTGGGCGTGTCCCACGCGCGAGCCCCTGCGCGCATCGCCTGGGCGCTGCCCAGGCTCGGGAAGCAAGACACGCATCAACGTCGACCAGACGTTAAGAGTTGGAGAGCCCAGGGTTCGCTGGGGACTGGCTTCCCCCCCAAAACGGCGGAAGCGCCTCCCCAAACCCTCCCGAAACCCTCCGAAGAGCCTCGCGGAACCCTTCCCGGAGGGTTTGTCGGAGGGTTTCGGGAGGGCTTCGGCTGTTTTGTCAGGAAACCAGTCCCTAGCGAACCGTGGATTTTCGAACGTAAGAGTGACCTTTCGCCAGAGTGACCTTCGGTGCGTGCCCAATGGGGTCCCCCGATCGCCGAACGCGAGGCGGCAGTGGCGTCTTGTGCGCGGCCCCCTGGGGCCCCCCCCAAATGCCGCGCACCAGAGGTCACTCTGAACCAGGGCCACTCTTGCGTTATGATGTTCCAACCTACTTTAGCCTTGACCACCAGAAAGGATTCCGAGCACCAACAAAAACACCGAAACTCGAAGGTTTTCACGTGTCGGGCCCTGGGAGACACTCGTCCGACACTGTTTCGACACTCTTTCGACACTTTTCCTGGGTGCTCGAAGTCATTTCTGGGGTGTGGTCCTTAAGTACGATGGGAGCAACATAACTCTTGCGTGTCGTCGACAGTGCCACGCCGCCGTGTGGAGCCCATCGGCGTGTGACTGTTGAGAGGGCACACCAGGTCTCCGGACAAGCACGAAGGAGCAACACGCGGACGGGCCACCAACGGCGGCGTGTCGTTGGTATTCTTTTTTTTCAGGATGGGAATAAGCACGCAGACGCAATTCATCGTCGATCCCCAGGAAGACATGGGAAAAAAAGGGAAGTGGGGGGGAAGGCAACAACCCAGAACATATGGGAAAACATGAGAGATCCTGTTATTTGTGTGTGTATTTATTGGTGTGTCCCAGGGCCCCTTCATTTTTCCCTCCCGACAGGCGTGAGCGCAGGGCGCGCGCAAAATCCGGGAGCTGCCCGCTTCAACCCGAGACTCTGCCGTGTCGATGCGCGCGCGGCCACGACGCCCAAGATCGTGCCCAGTATGCGCCGTCTTCAGCTTCTCCACCGCGGCCCTCGCGTCGGGCTCGACGGCGAGGGCAGCTTGCGGGAAGGGTCCGGATCGGAGGGCTCATGTGTTTCCGGACCACCTCTTTCCGCGGATGCCACCCTTGTCGGAGTGAAGACAAGACTGAGCGCAACAAGAAGAGACGTCACAATGTGAATCGTCCATCGGGTCCGGCGCCCAAGGCTGGTAGCCTTGCTTCTTTGACAGCGACCTCATTCTCTGAGGTCCCCGGCCCGGCCGTGTCGACTGGTTCGGTACTCGCGGGCGCGATGACGTCCGATGACGTCCGACGATCCACATTCTGGATTTCTGATGATCTTGTCCGACGGCGTGTCCGTGTTTTCCGAGCTTCGGGAAAAGTCTTTGTGGCGAAGCTGGCCGCGCTTGCGGCCTCCTGGCTGGAGGGCCAGGTGTGCCTATCGCTGTTACATGTTCCTGGTCTTGCTTCGACAGCCTGTCCTGCAGCGGTCCGCAGCAAAGCAGATCCTCCTCTCTTCCCCTGCTGCTGCTGCTGCTCCTCCTCCTCTTCATTTTTGCTCCTGTCTCCTTCCTCCTCATCCTCCTCCTCCTCGTCCTCCTCTTCTCGTCATTCTCTTCTTCCTTCACCCCTTTTCCTCCTCCTCGTCCTCCTCTTCGTCCTCCTCCTCCTCGCCCTCCTCCCCCCCACCCCCTTTTCCCTACGAGTAGCTCCTCCCTGTCGCACCCCCCAGACGTGTGGGTAGGGCGGGCTGCAGGCGTCTCTCCGGAGATCCCCCTCACCGCTTATGATCCTTACACCTGACAGTTGCAAAATGGATGGCGGGCGGATCGTTTTCAAAATGGACGGAAGGGAGGATCGTCCCTCTTCCCTTGTCCCTCCTCCCTCTTCCCTTGTCCCTCCTCCCTCCTCCCTCCTCCTCCTCCCTCCTCCCTCCTCCTCCCTCCTCCTCCCTCCTCCCTCCTCCCTCCTCCCTCCTCCCTCCTCCCTCCTCCCTCCTCCCTCCTCCTTGAAAACGATCGGATCCGCTCACGGATGGACGGCGGGTCGTTTTCAAAATGGAGTGTTCGCAGCAGCGCCGCGCACACTTATCTTGAATTTGTTGCAGCAGTTTCGCGGACGTAAGGTGGTCCGTGTGCAAGATGTGGTTCTCTTTGCAAAGCGCCGCGCACATTCGTCGTACACGAATTTGAATCCGATTCACCGCTGGATAGCGTTTTTCCAACATGTGATTCTCGTCCTAGCGCCGCGTAAATTCGTCATGAAAGTTTGCAATAGCTTCAAGGCTTCGTATGGTTGCAGTCCCAGGAGTGGCTTTCTGGCACGGCTTAGGGTTGTCAGACGCAACAGTCAGGTTAAGTTGACTCGCCATGCTGAAGTCCAGGGAGTGGCGTTGTGACACGGCGTTGGGTTTTCAGGGCGCATCAGTAGCGTTGATTGGTGGAGTTGAGGTCCCATGAATAGTGCCTTGGCCAGATTGAGGACTCTCAAACTGTTGTCTTCCAAAACATACGCGTAGGGACCTATGAACAGGCAGGTTGGAGAGAAGGTTTGCTGCGTCTTGGGTTTACACTGGTCCTCATCCTCCTTCTCCTCCTGCTGTCTTGCGTTCGTCTCCTTCTTCCCTCTGTTCCTCTCTCCTTCCTCCTTCCTCCTTCCTCCTCCTCCTCCTCCTACCAGGTCCCCTCCTCCTCCTCCTCCTCCTCCTCCTCCTCCTCCTCCTCCTCCTCCTCCTCCTCCTACCAGGTCCGCTCCTCCTCCTCCTCCTCCTCCTCCTCCTCCTCCTCCTCCTCCTCCCCCTCCTCCTCCCTCCTCCTCCTCCCCTTCCTCCTCCTCCTCCTCTCCTCCTCCTCCTCCTCCTCCTGCTCCCCTTCCTCCTCCTCCTCCTCCTCCTCCTCCTCCTCCTCCTCCTCCTCCTCCTCCTCCTCCCCCTCCTCCTCCCAGGTCCCAACAACAGTCCCTGCTCAGGCCCTGGGGCCCGAAGGTTTGTCGTCCCAACCTTCGCGAGCATCGCCTCAAGAACGGGGGAGCCCCCGTGCCCCGCCCGGCTCGACACGGTGGCGCCGACCATCAAGGGCGTCAGCAATACGCTGCGATCCTCCTCGGCCTCCTCCTTCTCCTCCTCTAACCTCCACTCTCCTCCTCTCTCCTCCTCCTGCTCCTCCTCTAACCTCCTCTCTCCTCCTCTCTTCCTCTTCTTCCCCTCCTCCTCCTTCTCCTCATCCTCCTTTATTGCGCTCGCCTCCTCCTGCTTCTCTTCCTGTTTCTCCTCCTCCTGCTCCTCCTGCTCTTCCTCCTCATCGTCCTCCTCATTTATGCTATCTATCCGTCCTCCTCAGCCTTCTACTCCTCTTCCTTCTTCACTGCTTTCTTCTCCTCCTCCTCCGTCTCCTCCTTCTCCTCCACCTTCTCCGCCTCCTTCTCCTCCTCCTTGTCCTCCTCCTCCTCATCGTCCTCCTCCTCCTCCTCCTCCTCCTCCTCATCATCATCATCATCATCAGCATCAGCAGCAGCATCATCATCATCCTCTTCCTCTTCCTCTTCCTCTTCCTCTTCCTCCTCTTCCTCGTCGTCCTTCTCCTCCTCCTCCTCCTCATCATCATCATCATCATCATCATCATCATCATCATCATCATCATCATCATCATCATCATCATCATCATCATCATCATCATCATCATCATCATCATCATCATCATCATCATCATCATCATCATCATCATCATCATCATCATCATCATCATCATCATCATCATCATCATCATCATCATCATCATCATCATCATCATCATCATCATCCATCATCATCCCCCCGCTCCTGCTCATCCCTCTCTCCTCCTCCTCCTGCTCCGCCTCCTCTTCCTTCCTCCTCCTCCTCTCCTCCTCCTCCTCCTCCTCTCTCCTCCTCATCCTCCTCGTCCTCCTCCTCCTCCTCTCTCCTCTTTCCTCCTCGTCCTCCTCGTGCTCCTTCTCCTCATCCTCCTCCTCCTCCTCCTCCTCTTCTGCAATCTGCCTTCCCCCGCTTCCCACCCCCTTCCTTCCTGGCAGGTCGTTCAAGCTCGACTGGCACAAAGTCGCCGACAAGACCGGCAAGGCTTCGGGGTGGACCATGGAGACCAGGGTCGTGGAGAAGGCGTGGCGTCTGCTCCAGTCCCTCCTTTCTGCTCCTCCTCGTCCTCCTCCTCGTCCTCCTCCTCCTCCTCCTCGTCCTCCTCCTCCTCCTCCTCCTCCTCCTCCTGCTCCTCCTCCGCCTCATCCCCCATGCTCCTCTCATCATTTCTTGCTCCTGCCTCCTCCTCCTCCTCCTCCTCCTGCTCCTCCTCCTCCTCCGCCTCCCGCAGGATTGCGCAGAGGCGATGCCGCCACCCACGTGGAACATGACAGCCCTCCTGGCGGCCGTCAGGAACGGTGAGCAGCGCACTGAGTTCGTTGACGGGACATCTAGGTTGCTGGAGGACCGCGTGGACGAGCGCATCGGTGCCCACGACCAGGACGCCCCAGACAACATCTTCGAGCTGCTCGACAGGTGCCTGGCCGAGGTCGGCTCTGAGTTGTTCACCAAACCGCTGGACGTCCCAGGCAGGTACGCGCACCGGGCCAAGCTACGACGCGACCTGCTTTTGAAGAGGATCGGACCTGCGGGCGCCTCGCCCTCCTACCATGGACCTCGAGGCCGTGGCAATGGAGCTCCAGGAGTTTTCTCAGCGTCTTCGCCTCCTTCGACGGAAGCACACATGAGCTGTTCGGGAATCGTACACCCAGGCCTCCTGCGAGGCGTGGGGCAAGAGTAACCTCTTGCGAGACGAGGGGATGGGCCCGACGTGCCGCCAGCTGCCCCTTCTCCGCCATAGATCAGGAGGGGAAAAAACACACAGACACTATTATTCGTCGATTCGCACGAAAATATAGGAAAATATGGGAATTGGGGGGGAAGACGAAAACCCAGAAAATATAAGAAAATATGGGGAATCTTTTTATTTGTGTGTATTTATTTGTGTGTCCCTGGGCCCCTTGAACAGAACGTGACGGCCGACGATCCGGAGCATCCCCGGTATCGAGGCAAGCAGGGTTGGATGCTCGGCCATTGCCCAGTGGTGATGGGGGGCATGGAGGTTCAACCGCTCGATCTTAGCGAATGGCGAGCTACACGAAATCACTTCGATGTGAGTCAGATCCACGATTAAGTCGGGCCTGTCCCTCCTACAGGAGGAACATTCAAAGATAGTAAAAAAATAAGTTGGGGGCCATTTTTGACTATTTTCGAGCATTTTTGGAGTATGTTTTGGGTATGTTTTATTTTTCGCCCAAAATCCCCCTGCAGGGGGACAGGCCCGACCTAAATCTACGATATCGCACGCTACGACGAGCGACCTGCGGTGCTGGGCTGCCGTGGCATCGGTCGTCTTCGCCGTTGCGTCCATCGGGCTCCCGAGCGTCGTGTCGTTCCCGAGGGCAGCGCTCCCCTGGAACTCCTGGTGGCTGCTCCTACGCTCAAGTAGGGCCTGTCCCTTCTTCCGGGGGAATCTTATTCAGAAATAGTCAAAAATAGTCCAGGGACGATTTTTGGAGTATTAGTTGATCAGTTTGGGGCATTTTTGGGGTACTTTTTAATGTTTCGTCCAAAATCCCCCTGTAGGGGGACAGGCCCGAGCTAATCCTACCCCCGGCCCGAGGTATGGGCGACCAGGCTCCGGCGCACCCGGAGTCGCGGAGCCCACGACGTTTTCGGTTGCCATGCCATCCTAGGCGGGGCGCTGGGGAGGGGCTCGGTGTCCCTTGATTGTTCCAAAGTTTGCCTCGGGTTTTCCGGAGGTTTCCCATTGAAGGTCGAGGTTGGTTGGACCTATGGGAAAAAGGGACCTCGTTCCTTATTTAGGGTTCCTTAGGTCAACGCCTCGACTGTAGGCGGGGCGATGATGATCAGGATTTTTGGCGTATCCCACGATGCCCTTGGAGATCATCATGATCCTAGACTCGGGGGCGACAAAGAGGGGGGTGATGACTAGGGGGGGGGGATATCATGGCGCGGGCCATGATATCTCCCCAGATTTCATGGCGCCTCTTCTTGTTTCATTACGTCCATGGCCCCCCCCCCCTGGGCCGCGCACGTGCCGCCGGCCATGATGTGCACCCCCCCTTCTTGGACACCCCCCTCTTGGCCGCTCCCGATCCTTGACGGCATGGTGATGATCCGGATTTCTGGCACGGCCCTCCGCAAGTCGGCCCAGCCGGGGCCCAGGGGGAGACCGCGCGGTCCACGTCCTGCCTGCCGTGGGTCAATCCATTGTCGCAGACCTCCTACCCAATGGGTTGCGATTCGAGGACTACAGTCGGATTTCACTGGACAGGGCATGCGAGAGGACAAAAAAACCCTCCTAGGGCCACATTGCCATGGGAATGCAGGAGGCACGGGTCGCGAAACACAGGACACAAGGGTACCCTTGATTTGGCAGGGTCGACCTACTAATCCGGGCCGACTGTACGGTGCTCAACGTCCCCGTCGTCAGCAAGGCGCCACCATGGCCTCCCAGGCGGCGGGGTGGAGACTTCGAAAGGCAGCAGGGAGTTCCGGGCCAGCATAAGAGACATGAGCGACGCCTTCGGCAGCACGAGCTGGGAAGCCATGAGTACGGCGAAGTCCACTCTGGGCCAGCCTGAACACGTTGTGCTTTGTGAGAACAGATTTCGTGATGCAGTCGTTCTACTACTTAGTGACCAAGGGGAGTTAGCAGTGAAGACGCGAGTGGGAGGAGTGGTGAGGGACCCTTTCATGGCCGCGGCCTGTTCGACGATGTTTCTCCGACCGGTGCAACAGTGGACCGAGGATTTTCGCGCTGCAGGCCCGGCGCGCTCTCTGTCGTGCGCTGGGTGGGACGGCCAATCAGCCGACCTTAGTCATGACAAGTATGCCGACGATCTCTACCGCCGCACCCCCAATGGCCTGTGGCCGAGTTAAATCATTCCGACGATTGCTTCGACGCTCTCTTCCAGGACTATGCACGGATGCAGACAACATCGAGGAAAGCAAGAGTTGGCGGTCTGGGTCGAGGGGGAGGGGCCCTAGCGCGTCGCAGATGGCTTCGCGGGCCCGGTCGGACCCTTGATTCGGGCGCCCTGAAGGAGGAGGGCAGACATCTGGGTCCACGCATCAAGTGAGGAAGTTGCCCGTCGGCATCTCGCAGTACGCTCCGCTTTTTTATTAAATGGTTGGCCTTTGGTTTCTGAAGCTGCCATGGAAGCTCACGCGCTCTTTGTTTTGTCCTTGGGTCAGAATTCAGCCTTGCGCAGCCTGGTGGCCTTCTTGTTCACCAGGCAGCAGTGATCCAGTCTAGACGCCACAGTGGCGCACTGCGTTCGCGCGGCGATCCGCGGGCGCGCCTGCTGGACAATCGAGAGCAGGAGCGACCCGCACTGACGTCCGAGGCTGCGACACTGGCGCATTTGTGGCGCATTTGTGAGACGCACGTTGAGTTTGGCATTCGGAGGAGGAGGAGGAGGAGGAGGAGGAGGAGGAGGAGGAGGAGGAGGAGGAGGAGGAGGAGGAGGAGGAGGAGGAGGAGGAGGAGGAGGAGGAGGAGGAGGAGGAGGAGGAGGAGGAGGAGGAATTGTAGAAATCGTGGTCTCTCCCTCCCTCCAGTCACGCCCAGCTGTTCTCGGTCCTCCTCGGTTCTGTGCCCTTCGAGTCGGGGGTCGCGCCCGCTGTGCACCTCCAGTGCTCTTCCACGGGCTCGGCGCGCGGTCGGAGGCTTTACCGTGGGCGCAGGGGCTCTTGCCTGATCATTGAGACCTGTTGGGTTATATCGCTGCTCGCCCAGGCTTCTCGCGGGGCTCCGAGGTGCCCAGCCCGAGTTCGACCGGGCACCGAGCGGGCCCCCGCAGACATCCCGCGTCGAAAGAAGGGCGATTCCGAGGCGCCCCTGCCCCCGCGCCAGGTGGGGGAGCGCGGGGAACAAGCCGCTACTCATTAAGGGCTCATGGCGCACCACGTAACCTCTCATATGTTGTCGAGCGGCTTTCTGGGATCAGGCCTCTGCGCGGCATCGAGTATCGGCTGCGCGTGAACCTCCGTCGAAGTTGGTGCATTTCCAATGCGAATTCGAATCCTCGGATGCTGGTGGTCTCATGCCGACGCCGACGCAGCGACCTGCCTGGCCCAGTCCTTCCCCGGCCGCGGCGGTTCTTGCCCGACATTCCGAAGGAGCTCGGTGGCAATGGGGCTGCAAGCGTCGGCCGGGGCGCAGGATTCCCTGCCAGGGATGCGCGGGGCAGACGGGGCCCGCGCGTCGGCGCCGCGCGCAGGGCAGCCAGCTCAGGGCCGCGGCAAAAGGGGGGGAGAAGAAAGGCGACCTGCGCGACTCACATATGAAGGCGGCAGCCAAGCCGCGCCTCAACGGCGCGCGCGAGCCGGAAAACTTCGCGTTCCAGACATGGGAATCGAGGAGGGGCCCCAGTCCATCACGCAGATGATGGTCGACGCAGGCGGCGAGCGCGACCGGGCCCCAAAGGGCTTCAAGGAGCGGCGGCAAAACGGACATCATATCGACATTGGGGCTCGAGGGCCGTCGCGCGTGCAGTCGCGGGCGGCCGCGGGCCCCCATCTCGTCAATCACGCCCGACAAATGGCATCTGGAGGGAAGCGACGCCTGCGTGGAGTCGGGCATGACAGGTCCCCGTCGATTAATTTTAAGAAGAGCATCCAGGCCAAGAACCCAGGATGCGGCGTAGCACGCGCCCCACTTCCGCCGTCGCAAGTACGAGTGGAAGAAGGGCCATGATCAGGGCGGCACGCAGGCGTCGCAGGGCAGCCAGGGCCAGAGCTCGACGAGGAGAGGCAGGCTGACGTTCGCGTTCAGCATCGACAGCCCAGGGAGGGAGGCCAGGACCATGCTGCTCCAGTTCCTGAACGCCACGACGCTGCCCAACGCCGCCCAGTTCGTCGGCCCAGCCTCCCGCGGGCCCCCCGAACGCGAGGCGTCGAGGCCCCCTTCTCTCATCGAGCTGGGGGGCGAGGAGTCGGTGGACTGAGCGAGGGCGAGGGCGCGGAGGGGCCTTGGAGCCGCTCCCGCAACAGCGTCCGAGAAAAGACGACGCGCGCGGAGAGGGGCGCGCGTTGGTTGCGAGCGTCTCGCAGGCTTGGCGCCCCGAAAAATTCTCTCCGACCATTTGGCGCCGCGAGTCTCGGCGCGCATTCGAATCCAGCCGCGCCTCCGATTCCCTTAGTTGTGGCTCCTGAGCGGGCTCCGCGGAGGGGCGCGGGCAGTGGGGGGCGCGGTCGATCCAGCCGCGGGTCGGCCCCGCGGGCCGCCCCCGCCTGCGCGGCGGCCCCCCCCCGTCTCCTGCCTCGCGCGGCGGGCTCGACACTCCGGGCGCTGTGCATAGCATGCTTCGCCTTCGCCTTCGGGCTGCCGTCGGAGGGCCGGGGGGTCGCGGCGCGCCGCGCAGACCCGCCGCGGCGATTTGTCTTCAGCGGCGAAGAGCATCGCGTGAGAAGCCACCCAGGCCACGCTCGCCGCAAGCGAGCGCAGCGCCACGCCGCATCTGAGCAGACGGAGAAACGCGCCGCGCCCGCGCAGGGCGACGCGAGGTTGCTGGTGCACGTGCCTATGGCCGCCCCGGGCAGAGCGCAGACGGGCGCGCGGCCTCTTGTCGGCCTCGTCGCGAAATTAAGGGTGGGGCAGTTGACGCGTTGCCCGCGATTGCGCGACATCTGAGGTCCGCGGCCAGGGCCACGGGCACTCCTGAGCTGGAAGGCATTAATTCGCGGGCACAATTCACATGGTGGGCAGCGGGGGGCAGCGCGCGGCCGGCAGGCGCGCGCGGGCGCGGCGCGCGACCTGCAGGTGCGCGCGGACAGCCCGGGAGGCGCGCGCGCGGAGCAGGTCCGCGCGCGGGCGCGCGTTTTCGCTGCGCAGTCGGGGATCGCGGGCCCGCGCGCGGCCCGATGGGGCGTGCGCCCGCGGCGATTTGTCTTCAGCGGCGAAGAGCATCGCGTGAGAAGCCACCCAGGCCACGCTCGCCGCAAGCGAGCGCAGCGCCACGCCGCATCTGAGCAGACAGAGAAACGCGCCGCGCCCGCGCAGGGCGACGCGAGGTTGCTGGTGCACGTGCCTATGGCCGCCCCGGGCAGAGCGCAGACGGGCGCGCGGCCTCTTGTCGGCCTCGTCGCGAAATTAAGGTTGGGGCAGTTGACGCGTTGCCCGCGATTGCGCGACGTCTGAGGTCCGCGGCCAGGGCCACGGGCACTCCTGAGCTGGAAGGCATTAACTCGCGGGCACAATTCACATGGTGGGCAGCGGGGGGCAGCGCGCGGCCGGCAGGCGCGCGCGGGCGCGGCGCGCGACCTGCAGGTGCGCGCGGACAGCCCGGGAGGCGCGCGCGCGCGGAGCAGGTCCGCGCGCGGGCGCGCGTTTTCGCTGCGCAGTCGGGGATCGCGGGCTCGCGCGCGGCCCGATGGGGCGCGCGCTCGCGCGCCGCGGCGCCGCGCAGGCGACTGGCGCATATGCAGGGCGGGCGGGCCCGCTGCATTTTGCGTTCTCCCCGCCCACCCTCACCTGGCGCGCTGCGTTGCGCGCGTTGGGCGCGAGTGTGGCGTTGCGTCCAGGGGCGTCAGGCCCGCGCGCTGCCCCCGCGCCGCGCGCCGCAGTGGATTCGGCTGCAGAGGCGGCGCCGTGCCGCAGTGGGCCCTGCCGCTGATGCGGCGCTCGCGAGGGGGCGCGTCGCGCCCGTCGACGGGGCTTGACTCGCCTAGACGCTTGTCACCACCCAAGTATGTGTGTGTGTGCGTGTGTGTGTGTATGTGTGTATATGTGTGTGTGTGTGTGTGTGTGTGTGTGTGTGTGTGTGTGTGTGTGTGTGTGTGCGTGCGTGCGTGCGTGCGTGCGTGCGTGCGTGCGTGCGTGCGTGTGTGTGTGCGTGTGTGTGAGAGAGAGTGTGTGTGTGTGTGTGTGTGTGTGTTGTGTGTGTGTGTGTGTGTGTGTGTGTGTGTGTGTGTGTGTGCGTGCGTGCGTGCGTGCGTGCGTGCGTGCGTGCGTGCGTGCGTGCGTGCGCGCGCGTGTGTGTGTGCGTATGCGTATGCGTATGCGTGCGTGCGTGCGTTCGTGCGTGCGTGCGTGCGTGCGTCGTTGTCTGTGTTGACGTTGTTATGGTTGCTGTTGTTGTTGCTGCTGTTGTTGGTGTTGTTGCTGTTGTTGTTGCTACTCATTTACAAATAATCATTATTGCTGATCTCCGGAAACGGTTCCGCGCGCTCTCGCCTTGACGTTGGCTACGTTTTCGCTGAAAACGAGGCTCCTGCTCGAGCGTTGGCTTGACACTAAATGTGGGCCCTTGGAGGCCCAGCTACGAAAAACAACGGCTCCCGCGCTATACTTCTTCACAATTTACCCCGGGACGCCCTGGCCATAGACGCCCCCGAACTTAGGAACGGCGCGCTCGCTCGAGACACCCTCCCAATTCAATTAGGTTGGCGGAGGCCCAGCCACGACGACAAGGTCTTGCTCGCTATTTCCCCACGATTTACTCCGAGAGCCCCTGGCCAAGAAGGCCCCCGAACTCAGGAACTGCGCTCTCGCTCGAGACTTTCCCGTAATTCAGGCAAGTTGGTGGAGGCCCAGACACGGCGACAAGGGCTCCCGTTTCGATATTTTTTCCATCGGTATTCCGAGAGCCCTTGGCCAGGGAAGGCACCGAATTCAGGGACTGCGCTCTCGTTCGAGACTTCTTCGCACTTCAGTCAGTGGCCGACAAGGAGAAAATTCCCCCCGAAAGGGGGTGCAATCGACGACGAAGTGGGCGGGTATCGAGGGTTGGGGTATACGGAATGCAAGACACGCGTGCCAGTAAGAGCGAACCGTCTCAAAATGAGTGTTGTTGTTGTTGTTGAATTCTCACTTCTGAAGAATAGTAATTGTTGATATTTCCTCACCGGTGCATACGGTTTTTCTCAATTTAAAGTGTACCCCCTCGACGCTCGCACCCTGTTTTTTGACGAGAAGCCTTGATGCTCAAGCTGCGCCCCTGGCCCCCTGGTTACATCAACAACGGCTCCCGCCTGAGACGTCCTCAGAATTTTGCCAGGGGAATCGCGCTCTCGTTTGGGACTTCCTTACAATGTATTAAGGAATCGCTCTCCTGGCGCTCTGGAGTCGCGCTCTCGCTGGAGATTTGTAGCGCCCTTGCGTCGGAACTTCCTGCAATTTACTCAAGCGCCGCGCTCCCGACACCCAGGCACCCAGGAATCGCGCTCACGCTTAGGACTCCCTCACAGATTACCTCGGAATCGGGATCTCGCCGCCCTTCGTGGCCCCGTTGCAGCCCTTCGTGGCCCCCTCGCTTTGTTTCGTGGCCCCGTTGCAGCCCTTCGTGGCCCCCTCGCTTTGTTTCGTGGCCCCGTTGCAGCCCTTCGTGGCCCCCTCGCTGCCCTCCGTGGCCCCGTTGCAGCCCTTCGTGGCTCCGTTGCAGCCCTTCGTCTCGCTCCCATTCGTGGCCCCGTTGCAGCCCTTCGTGGCCCCGTCCTTGCCCTCCGCGGCCCAACATACGTATGCTCTTCGTGGCCCCCGCTCGTTCGAGCCCGTTGTGGCCCCAGGTGCATGCCCTTCGTGGCCCCGCTGTCGCCCTTCGTGGCCCCCTCGCTGCCCTTCGTGGCCCCGTTGCTGCCCTCAGTGGCCCCGTCCCTGCCCTCCGCGGCCCAACATACGTATGCCCTTCGTGGCCCCCGCTCGTTCGCGCCCGTTGTGGCCCCATGTGCATGCCCTTCGTGGCCCCGCTGTCGCCGTTTGTGGCCTCCTCACTGTCCTACGTGGCCCAGTTGCTACCCTCAGTGGCCCCATCGTTGCCTTCTATGGCCCCGCATTATCTGCCCTTCGTGGCCCCCGCTCGTTCGCGCTCTTCGTGGCCCCATACGCATTCCCTTCGTGTCCCCGCTGTCACCCTTCGTGACCTACTTCGTGTCCTTCGTGGTCCTGCTGTCGTTCTCTCTCGCTCTCGCTTTCGCTCGTCGTCGTCGCCGTCGTCGTCGTCGTCGTCGACGTCGACGTCGTCGTCGTCGTGGTCGGTCCCCTGTCCGTCCCTCTTGGGGTCGGGTCGACGGTCCGCGGCCGCCCCGCCGATCAGCGCTGCGCTGGCCAGGCCGACGGTCCGCAGCCGCCCCGCCGCTTGCCGGGGCCCGGCCTGCAGGGAAGAAAGGTGTACCCCCCAAAAGGGCTTCGATCGAAGACGAAGAGGGCGGGTATCGAGGGATTGGGAAATACGCGTTGTTGGACACTCGAGCAGATAAGGGCGAACAGTCTCAAACATATTGTTGTTGTTGCTGTTGAGTTCTCATTCCTGAAGAATAAGTATACTTGATGTCCCCTCACCGGTGCATACTGTTTTTTTCTCAATCAAAGTATGTCCCTCGACGCGTGCGTGCGTGCGTGCGTGCGTGCATGCGTGTGCGTGTGCGTGTGCGTGTGCGTGTGTGTGTGTGTGCGTGTGTGCGTGTGCGCGTGTGTGTGCGTGTTTGTGTGTGTGTGTGTGCGTGTGTGTGTGTGTGCGTATGTGCGTGTGTGTGTGTGTGCGTGCGTGCGCGTGTCTGTGAGAGAGTGCGCGCGCGCGTGTGTGTGTGTGTGTGGTTGTGTGAGTGTGTGTGTGTGTGTGTGTGCGTGCGTGCGTGCGTGCGTGCGTGCGTGCGTGCGTGTGTTTGTGGGTGTGGGTGTGCATGTGTGCGTATGCGTGTGAGTGTTCGTGTGCGCGCGTGTGTGTGTGTGTGTGTGTGTGTGTGTGTGTGTGCGTGTGTGTATGTGTGTGTGTGTGTGTCTGTGCGTGCGTGCGTGCGTGCGTGCGTGCGTGCGTGCGTGTGTGTGTGTATGTGTGTGAGTGAATGTGTGTGTATGTGTGGTGGGGGTGGTGGGGGGGCGGCGCATGTCCGAGTCGTCCCGAGCGGCGCGCGCCAAGATACGGCCCCGCTGGTGGTACGTGGCAATCGCCTCCTGCGCGAATTACAGCTTGGACGTCTCGTACAGGCTCCAAAAGGAGGAGGACGACGACGAGGACGAGGACGCGGGGGATACGGGGAGGGGGGGGGAGGGGGCGGAGGAGGAAGAGGAGGAAGAAGCGGATATGAGGAGGAGGAGGAGGAGAAGGAGGAGAAGGAAAAAAAGGAGGAGGAGGAGGAGGAGGAGGAGGAGGAGGAGGAGGAGGAGGAGGAGGAGGACGAGGACGACGAGGAGGAGAAACGAGGAACAGGGAGGACAAGGGAGGAGGAGGAGGAGGAGGAGGACGAGGAGGAATAATAATACTAATAATATTAATAATACTAAAAATACTATTGAGAATGGCAACAATAATTAGACGAATCATAAGAATAGGAATAATAATCATACTAGTCATAATACGAGTGCTAGTGGTATGAATAAGAGGAGACAGAACAGGAGGAGGAGGAGGAGGATCCTGAGGGCCCTGATGATGCGGCCCATGTCATTGGACCCTGGCGCGCAAGACGCGCCGCCCGAGCCCACGTCGTGGCAGCGGAGGCCGGCCCCGCTGGGCCCAACCAAGGCACATGTTCGAGCGGAGCTCCGCGGCGGCGACCCGCCGCAGGCGGAAAGCGGGACCCACGGCCCCCCAAAAAACGAAGCGAGTTGGCGGCGGCGACGAGGATAGGGGCCACGTGCGAGCCCTACCCGTACCCCCCACGATTTTTGAGGGGGAGGGTGGGGTTCACTTCGCTCGAGAGCTCCCGAGCGAAGTGAACCTCGCCCGAGCGAAGTGAACCCCACCCTTCCCCTCAAAAATCGTGGGGGGGGTAGGGGTAGGGCTCGCACGTGGCCCCCTAGAGGAGCCCCAGGGCCGCCCAGGGAGCACCGCCACTGCTCCCATCCCCTCGAGCCATGAGCAAGGGCCGCGTCGGGTCGACGGAGGCGGCCCCGAGCCTTTCCGCGGCCTCCGCCAGGAGGACGTCCGTAGGGAGGTCGTCCGCGGAGTTGCAGACTTTGCCCGGCACGATAAGGCCGCTGCCGTCGTGCTTCTTGCCTTTGGTCTTGCTCGTACCTCTGAGCATGCCTTTGCCCTTGGCCTTGCCCATGCCCATCTCGGTGGCCATGCCACGGCCCTTACCAGCAGGCACACCTCCCCAGGGCTGAGGATCAGCAGGTACTGGCTTGTGGCCGATCTGATCCTACCTTTGTCGGCGCAGTTGCTCACGATGCTGCGGCCGTCGAGGACAATCTCCTGGCTGCTAAGGTCGACGTCCATGCCCCATTCCTTTGGCTGTGGCGCGGCCCTGGCCATCAGCAGGCACACCGCCTGTGGGCTAAGGATCAGCAGTGACAGCCTTCTGCTTGATTTCCTCCTTGTCGATGTAGTTGCTCACAACGTTGTGGCCTTCATGGGCCTTCTCCATGCCGACGTCCTGCGTCACGTCGCAACGCTCTTCCTCGCCGACGACCTGCTCGTCCTCCGCGTGCTGGCCAGACGAAGGCGTCGAACCTCGGGAATTGGCCGAATATCCAGTGTCGTCGCCCTGTCGTCTACACGACGTCCACCGAGTAGTCCTTCTTCTTGTGGGTATCCGTGACACTGTCCGAGTCCGAGTCCGAGTCCTCTCCTCCGCCTTCGTGCAGGCGCCTCCATGCCATGGAAGCGGAATCCTTGAGGTCCTTGGTGTGTTCCATTTCTTCATCATGATCTTCATCATCAGTAGGGTCAGCAGCGTATAACTCCTCCGTTCCAGCCTCTTACTCAAAGTCCCTCAATTCCTGGACCACCTGCTCTTCCTGGGGAAGTTTGGAGACGCATCCGAGAAGCTTCGGCTCTGCTTTTTCCTAACGCGGTCAAGAGGAAGAGGAGGAGGAGGGAGAGAGCAGTGATGTTGTTGATGGTGGTGGTAGTGATGATGACGATGATGATGATGATGATGATGATGATGATGATGATGATGCTGATGATGCTGATGATGATGATGACGATGATGATGATGATGATGATGATGATGATGATGATGATGATGATGATGATGATGATGATGGTGATGGTGATGATGATGATGATGATGATGATAATGATGATGCTGCTGACGCTGATGGTGATGCTGCTGCTGATGATGATGACGATGATGATGATGATGATGCTGATGGTGATGGTGATGCTGATAGTGATGATGAGGATGATGAGGATGATGACGATGGTGGTGGTGGTGATGATGAGGAGGAGGAGGAGGAGGAGGAGGAGGAGGAGGAGGAGGAGGAGATGATGAGAAGAAGATAGAGGAGGAGGAGGAGAGGAGGAGGGAGGAGGAGGGGAGGAGGAGGAGGAGGAGGATAAACAATTGGAGAAGGAGGAGGACGACGACTGGCGCGCTCCTGCTTGTGGCACCTGGCGTGCTTGCTGTGGTCGCCGTCCCTACTCGACAGCATTTGCCGACGTCCGCGGTATGTTTTGCTGACTCGTATATCTTGCATTCTATCAGTGATCCGTCTTCGTGTTGTTTGATCGTTCTATACTGTGATGGCCAGTCGTAGCATTATCGATATAGGTTATGATTATTGCTTTTGTTAGGAATCGTATACACCGTATTACTCGTATGGTTATTGTTCCTCCTCCTCCTCCTCCTCCTCCTCCTCCTCCTCCCCTTCCTCCTCGTTCTCCTGCCCATCCTCTTCTTTTTTGATATTACAATCATCCTTAATACTATTTCCTCTGCTCCTCCCTTGCCCTCCTGCCCACTCCTCCTCCCGAAGGTCTGGAGTTCTCCAGAGGCCTTCCGGGGTCCTCGGAGGCCTCGGGAGGTCTCCAGAGGCCCCCCTCCCCGAGGCTTCTGGAAGCCTTCAGAGCTCCTGTTGAGTCGGGCCTGTCCCTCTACAGGAGGAATATTCCAAACTAGGAAAAAATCGGTCGGGGAGTTTTTTTTTCTGCATTTTTAAAAAATATTTTGGTGTATTTTTTTGTCAATTTTTAAATTTGTCGTCCAAAATCCCCCTGCAGGGGGACAGGCCCGACCTAATGCTATGGTCTTCGGAGGTCCCAGGAGTCGGCGGTCAGCGAGGGGGGGAAGTGGGAAGGAGAAGGCCTTCACAGAGGGCGGTGAGGCTTCTCAGAAGTCCTCCGGCCTTCTGAGAATTTCTCTGCGTCCAAAAAACCTTGGATCCAGTTGCGAACGTTGGGCCTTATGGGCGAGCGGGACGAAGCCCGCAGGAACGGCCGGCGGGAAGCGGAGGCCCAGGCTGAACACAGAAATCGAAAGTCTGCCAAAGTCGATCGCACGGAGTGCCTGGACATCACGATAGTGGAGGAGAGTGGAAAGCGATCAAGGCATTCAGGAGGAGCGCTGGCAGGGGTCGCGTCACGTGCAGAAAACTGACGGGTTCTGGCGGTAGGATCGTTGAGTCCACAGAGCGGGCGGAGTCTTTTGCCGAGCATTTAGACAAGATCCAATGGGCAGTCAGACCTATGGAAGAAATGGCAACATCAAACCGAATCGGCCCGCCAATCTGCACTTGCGAGGGGAGCATCACGGGAGAGGAACTTGGCAAGGCCATCAAGAAAGTGAAGAATGGGAAAGCAGCTGTGGAGGTGCCGGCTGAGTACTTGAAGGCTGTCCTCGAGGCCGATTTGAGCAGGGAAGGGTGGCTGTTGTCGCTTATGCGGTTGTGTTGTGAAACGAAGACGACGCCGAGTCCGTGGCATGTCTCACAGGTGGTGTTGATCTACAAGAACCGCAACCCGATCGACTGCAACAACTACCGGCCGATCTCTTTAGTCAGCGTGCTCTACAAAGTATACGCGACGATATTGCTTAACAGGCTGAAGGCTGCTGGAGCGGAGGCCAGACTATGGAGCCGGCAATTTGGTTTCAGACAGGGGTATTCGACATAAGACGCGCTGATCATAGTTCGCCGGTGGATCGAGCATGCGTGGTCTGGCCGCCTTGGGAGAGCGATGTTGCTCGCGTTGGACTGGAAGAAGGCCTTCGACAGCATCTCGCCGGATAAGTTACTGAGTGCGCTGATGCGGTTCGGCCTTAGCGAGAACATGCTGGCAGCCGTGCGTAACATACGGACATGTCCTTCCACGTGCCGGGTCGGTGTCCACAGAGAGGCGGCAGAGAGCTGGTATCAGCCAAAGGTGTCCGTTGTCGCCCTTTCTGTTCGGTGTGCTGATGACGGTGCTGATGCACGGTGCGCGGGCGATGCGATTGGACGGCGCAAGACGAGCAACCGAGACGGGCGACTTCGAGGACGTCTTGTTCGCAGACGACGCGCTCCTGATCAGCAGAGCAGGCAAGTACCTGGACGACTACTTGGCAGCGGTCGCCAAGTGCGGTGTTCAATACGGTCTGCAGATGCACTGGGACAAGGTGCGCTACGTTTTTGTGTGCACCCATCAGAAAGCACACAGCCCTGACGGGGAGGAGTTTCCAGCGCAGGAATCAATGATGCACTTGGGTGCGACTATACACTCCACTGGCAGATTTGGCTGCGAAGTTGCAAGGAGGATCGGCGCCAGAACAGCGGACGTGCATGCATTAGACAGGGTGTGGAAGCACTCATGAATTATCCGTGCGCGAAAATTCGAGCTATATGCCAGTCTCATAGAAAGCAAGCTTCGGTATGCCATGTCTTCGGCGTGGATCCTGAAGGCGGACCTCAGGTGGCTGGACGGCTTTTAAGCAAGGTGCCTGAGGAGAATCATGGGCATCCCGCGCTCGTACATCTTGAGGGTCAGCAACTTCTCAGTGTTCCAGCAAGCGGGGCGCCGGACATCGTGAAGGACGGGCAGATCGGACTGACGCAGCGCCTTCTGGCTTCGCCGCAGAAGCGGATGCTCAGAGACGCGGCCTTCCATTGGGGCACGCTCATTCCGGGTGGGCAGACCTAGGCTTGGCGAGACGTCGTAGATCGCATCATGTGATCAATTGTTCTGGAATTTTCCATTGCCTACTCTCGCCTCTCCCCTCCTGAACCGCCGTGCTCCATGTAGCGCATGATGGGTTTTCGCTTGCTGTTTCACAATGCCAAAGTTTCACACGGCAGCCGATTCACTGATGACATCTATGCGTGGCCAATGCGCTGCCTGGCGCACGGTGATCTGTTCTGTTCTGTTCTGGGGAAAAGCTCAGGAAGCTTTTCAGAAGGCCTGGGGGCTTCCGAGCCTTCTGAGAAAGCCTTCTGCTTCTCATTTCCCCCCTCGCTCGCCGCCGAGGGGGTCTTCTTGAGGTGATTGAGGTTGTCGGACGCCTTCGTCAGTTCTCAGCGGTCTTCCAGCCTCGGATTGCCATCCGGCAGGCGTGCCTCGCCGAGGGCGTTCCGGAGGTGCCCGGCTCGTCCAGCACGGCCGCTAGGGAGGGAGGAGGAGGACAGGACAGGACATCCACAGAAGGGAGTTCAACGTCAAAACACCTACGCTGGTGCCTTGCGCGCTTCTGACAAAATCCCCTGCGATTGGTTGTGCAGCGGCCCTGCCTTCTCACTAGGGCTGGCAGGGGGCATGCCACGTTGCTCAAGGACTGAGCTCCGAGGTGGCCCCGTAAGAGAGGTTCGCTACCTTACGATTGCGAGTCCCTGCGGGTAGGAGGAGGAGGAGGAGGAGGAGGAGGAGGAGGAGGAGGAGGAGGAGGAGGAGGAGGAGGAGGAGGAGGAGGAGGACCAGAGTAATTTCAAGATCCGTTACCGATGCTGCAGTACACCTTCCCGTCCAATCCCCTCCCCAAAAGTCCACACAAGCCTTCTTTTCCATTGTGGGTGCCCCCCTGAATGACGAGCGGCCCGTCGGTCTGCCAGTCAGACGAGGGCGCCTTTTGTACAGGATCTTCCTTTCTCTTGAGGGACGCCCAGGGTAGACCCATTTTGAGAAGCGCTTGCTATCCGTCCGTGTAAGCGCTGCAGGATGTCGACATCGTGGACACATGTTCTTCGGAACCCCATCGTGAGAGTCCTGCAAGGAGGTCCAGGTGAGAAGAAAACGCCCTCCATCCGTCTAAGCGTTGCGAGATGTCAAAGTCGTGGACGTAAACTTCGCGGAAGTCACAGTCGAGGGCTCCGCTTCGAAAGAAGAGCCCGTCTCCGTCCATGTTGGCTGTTGTTCAACATGGAACGCTGGGTCGTAGAAGTCGAGGAGTGCAAATGGTGGTCTTAGTATTTGAATGCGCGCGAGGCCAAGAGGAGACCCCAATACGTCGGGGGCGTTCGTTACGGAATGTGCCCAGGAGATTGTTTACCTAGGAGTTATCTGGTGAGGGCGGCAGTGATACCCATGGTCGATCTACGATTGGAGTTCCACCGGCTTCCAGACCCTGGATTTTTCATCTAAGAGTTGATTGTTGAATGCCCCCACTGTCTCGTCAACGACTCGCCATCTTCTCGCGCAGCTCAGGATAATTTGGAAGCCAAGCATTCGCGGCCCAAGGGCGAGAGTCATTTGTTTTTAAGGCGGCCCGCCCTCTATTTGCTTTTTGGTGGTGAAAGATGATGGTATGCGGCGCCAGCAAGGCGAGAGCCCCATTGTGAAAACCGTTTGTGGTACACGCGTCAACGCGATCTGACTTCATCTGCTCCCTGAGGCCTCCCGCGGCGACGAGGACGATGAAGATGAGGATGTGGATGCTGTTGCTGCTGGTGGCGACGGCGAGCTTGGGGATTGTAATTAGCGTTTGGGAGCGCCTGAGAATGTCTTGGAGCGTTTGAGACCGCCTGGGGCAGCCTAGGCAGCGCTTGGGTCCAAGATCGGAGTCGGCGAAGGGGGCCCGAAACGTATATAGATTGACTGTGTTTGTGCCCACGGGCCTCTTCGGGGCCACGGGGTGGGTCGATATCGAAGGTCCGCAAGTGGCCTTTGTTTTAGAGGATGGTGAGGGTTGGGCCGGATGGATCAACACCGACTTGTTTTTGCATGCTATGGCCAGGTTGTGTATGAGCTATTTGCACCGAGTATTTTTTAATACATCGGATGATGACGGTTGACTCGTGTGGGTGTGCGCCTCATTTGTTGCATCGGCTGGTGCGGGTGCTCGGAGGCACGCGCGCCGACTACATTCGTTGCGCTGGATGGTGAGGGTTGGGTCGTATGGCTGTGCGCTGATTTGTATTTGGCCCATCCCGCCACCGTGCTTGGTTTGCAGGGCAAGGTCCTCATGGATGCTTTTCCGGGCTTCGTAGGAGCGCTCTTGGGAGCCGGGGGGCGGTTTGGACGCCTCTTGGGGGCCTCTTTGGGGACCTTTTGGGAGCCTCTTGGAGGCCGCTTGGGCTTCCTGGGGGCTTCTTGGGGGCATGTTGGGGCCGCTGGGAGGTTTCTTGGGGCCGAGGGCTCTAAATGTCCGTTGTGCTCCATATTTGGGGCCATCTTTTGGAGTCGTTGTCGTGGCCTTTTGAGCCGTTTTGGGGGCTTCTTGCGCCGTTTTGGAGCACTCTTGGGCCGCTTTGGAGTCCTATTAGAGGTCTCTTGGGCCGTCTTGGGGCCATTTGGGGCGCCTCTTGGGCCGTCTTGGGGAGCCAGGAAGCGGAACACTCGAGAACGCCTAAATTTTTCCAAGCACATGGAGTGTAAGTGATTTTCGCCTTTGGGCGCCCTCTTGGGGGTCCTCTTGGGGCGTCTTAGAAACCCCTTGGGCCGTCAGGGGGCCATTTTGGGTGTCTTGGACCGATCGAGCAGCGACTCGGGGCGCTCTCGGACTGGTTTGGGGGCCTCTTGGGCCCCCCCTCTGTCCGAGAGCACTCTTGGGGCCGAACAAATCATGCGACAAGCCGCCTTGGACCGCGGGCAAGCCGACCTGGACCGCGGGAGATTGGAGAGCTCGGGGTCCAGGCCCCCTCGGAATCATCCATTCAGATGGCTGCGGGCTACAATAGGGGACGTGAGGACGCGCCCACTCCGTGCCCGAAGGCACGGTGGCGGATTGTGTGCATATGATGGTGAGGCATGGGTCGGCTGGATGCGCTCCGGGTAGTATCTGTTGGATCGAGCGGTGAGGGTTGGGTCGCATGGATGTGCACGGTCCTAAGGCGAGTATTATATGTTGAAAATGAGCCGGCCTCCATCTTTGAAGATGATACACTTGTTCAACACGAATGTGCGCGGCGCTAAGGCGAGAGCCATATTTTGAACATGAGTCGGCCTCCATATTTGAAGTTGTTGCAAGTTTTCAAAACGAATGTGCGCGGCGCTAAGGCGAGAGCCATATTTTGAACACGAGTCGGCCTCCATGCTTGAAGTTGTTGCAAGTTTTCAAAGCGAATGTGCGCGGCGCTAAGACGAGAGCCACATTTTGAAACCAACCGGGCTTCATCCGTGAAGCTGCTGCGAATTGCAAATGTCAGGATTGTAATTCGCGAGGAAGTCTCAGGCGAAATGTGGTGCGACAGGGAAGAATGATTTATAATGGGGAGGAGGAGGAGGAGGAGGAGGAGGAGGACGGAGGATGAGGAGGAAGAGGAGGAGGAGGAGGGGAAGGACGGGACGAGGAGGAAGGAGGAGGAGGAGGAGGAGGAGGGGGAGGAGGAGGAGGAGGAGGAGGAGGGGAGGCGGAGTGAGGAGGAGACGACGAGGAGGACGACGAGGAGGAGGGGAGGAGGAGGAGGAGGGGGAAGGAAAAGGAAAAGGAGGAGCGGAAGAGGAGGAGGGAGGAGGAGGAGGAGGAGGAGGAGGAGGAGGAGGGAGGAGGACGGGGCGGAGGGGCAGGGGAGGAGGGAGGAGGGAAGGAACGAGGAGGAATGAGGAGGAGGAGGAGGAGTAGGGAGGAGGGAGGAGGGAGCAGGACCGAGGAGTCTGTGCTGCTTGTCTAGCTGAGCCCCCAGAGGCCTCCTAGAGGCCTCTGTGGACTGCGGGGGCCTCTGGAGGCCTCCGCTCGCGACCGACCCGTCTGAGCCCTCCCCCCTGGGGTGCGTGCGCGCGCGCGCGCCTCTGGGCTCAGATTCGAGCCGCTCCACTTGCGACGAGTCAGCTGTGGTGGGCTTGTTGTCCACCACCACCACCATAAGTTGGAGGGGGGAAGGAGGAGGAGGAGGAGGAGGAGGAGGAGGAGGAGGAGGAGGAGGAGGAGGAGGACTCCCTCCCCCTCCTACTCATGGTGGTGGTGGTGGAAAACAGGCCCATCAAGCTGTCTGCTCGATCACGTTGCTGGGCTCGAGCTGGTGTCGAGGGCGGGTGATCGGCGTCACCCCAGCATGCTGATACTATGTGTGCGTCGCCCCCAGTGGCGACGCGCGCACCGAGAAATCTTCTGGTATACGCGTCGTGGCGGGCGCTTTCTGGCCACACCGCTCGGGGAACGATGTACCTCAATATGGGTATACTATATGTTCGGAGAGGACGCTCGCCTCCAAGGAGGACATATAGTACTAGTATGTCTCTTTGCGTCCCAGGTCAGAGGAAGAGGTCTCGATGCTGCTACCCGTCCTTCGCCATCACGGCTGGATTTTCGCTTCGGAATTCTGGTCAGAGCGCACCCCTGCAGAGGTCTTGGGAGCAGCGGTATCGGTGTCTTTCGGTTCCCCCAGCGGGGGGGGCGATCTTGGGGAGCGCCTTCTCCCGGGACGGCACCTCCTTCGTGAGCGATTCCCGGTCTGGCAGGCGGGGGGACGAAGTCAGAGGACGCGTCGTCGGGGGCCGAGAAAAATGGGGGGGGGCAGCGAGGGCTGCAGCAGAGCGGCCCTTTGGGGGCCCCTCGAAAGGGCCCTCTATAGGGCCCTGCAGGGGGGCCTTGAGGGCCCGAGAAGGGCACCTTTCTTCCCCCCCAGCGTGCTGCCCCCCGAGGAATTCGCGCCCAAGGGAGGCCTGGCATCGCTCGGACGTGTGTATTTTTTTTCTCGACCATCGAGCAACAAAAAACCATCGAGCATCGACCCCGGAGAGGCATCCTGGACCATCGAG